TCATTCCGTGCCCAAACATGCTCTTAGGGTTTTGGTTTTAAATTTTATTATATTTGATTTGATTTTAATTTTATTTTAAAAATGACGCCGTTTATATGTAGAAAAAAAATATTGCGATGGAATAAATTCGATCGTTAATTCCGTCGCAATATTTAGTCAATACACCAACAACTATTTCTTTCACGACAGAAAGCAAATCGGTCGCCTTTTTCGTCGCGAAGTGGATGACGTAACTAAATTCCATCACAAGTTCTGTCGTGAATATTTTGCCGCCAATATTTCACGGGTTTTATTTCTCTTTGCGCCAAGATTCGTGACGGAATTAAAATCCGTCGCCCTTTTCGTTGCAAATTTGCAACGGAAGCAATTCGGTCGCAATATTCATTGCGTTTTTGCGACGAATTAATATTTTCTGTGATTTTCATTGCGATTTGCGGTTTTTCTTGTAGTTTTTCATAATTCCCTTCGATGCATTTGGAACCCTGACCTGAGCCGTGTTCCTCCCCTCGGCGTCCCTGTACTTGCTCACCAAAGTCTTCACCCACAAGCTTTCCTTTTCCTACTCTAAACGTCACCCTAGCTTCGCCATACACGCCTTGTTCATCTGCTGTAATCTGCGAATACCAATTCCTCTAACTTCCTTTGGGCTAGCCATGGTTTCCAGTTCACAATTTTATTCTTGTTATCCGGACTTTCACTTCCTCAAATAAAACGCCTATTACATTTCTCAGTCGCCTGGCATATTCCTTTAGGAATAGTAGCAGTCTGCATGGTATAAATCGGGATGGCATTAAGGACTAACTTTGCTAGGTTTACCCTCCTAGCCATAGACAGCAATCTTAGCCCTGGATTGAGTAATAGACATTAGACTGAAAAGTATAGAGAAACTCACCACTAACCACTTTGGCCCGACAGCACTGAATGACTACAATAAGTGGTTCTTTCGAATCACTATTGTAATAAGGCATAAGAGAAGATACATGTTCATTCCACAGTGTACATGTCAGGGTGTTCTCACTGAAATCCAATCAGTAAAAAATATATTGTATTAAATACAAAATTCAGTAATCAGTTCAAATAGAATCAAAGTACATTTTTTAAAAACTTACGCATTGTCTTCAATTTGAAAGTCAATAAGTTTTGTTGCCTTTCCACCTATAATCTTATCCACAGGATTATAGATCTCAATGACCCGACCAATCACATCTGCCAATTTTTTTAGAAATAAATACAGTAAGATTTTAGCAAGATGTTAGCAGTTAAGTTTATTAAGATAGTAATAAACATAAGAAAAGTAAAGATAGTACCAATAAGTTCATTGTCATTAACATCGGCAGGATCTTTCAAAGAAATGAAACTCTTTAAGCGAAACATTTTTAAAGGAAAGCCAATAGAATGTATCTCCTTCACTTGTGTTTTATAGTTGAATTTTATCATGAACTTATGTTATGTAATCTTGTAGACATAGTAATTTGTGGAAGCCATGAAGTTTTTTTATTTCAAACAGTTTGCCCTCTTGTAATATTTCTCTATATTTGACAATATCTTTTTTCAAAATGGTTGCATGAATGTAGTGTCCCTGCCAATAAAAAAAAACATAATTTAGGAGAATTTGAAATAGGCTTAGATTAGTAGATAGCATTAATATGATGCATTGAAAAAAAAAATAACAGTACCTCTTCATCATGGAACAACACTTCCATACTCTTACTCATCTGACCCTCTCCCCTTTTCTCAGGCACTTCGTATACCCGTACTGCTCTCACCCTGATTGCCCTGAGCTGGTGTTCAGGTTTGATGTTTTTCACAGCAATGAACATTGAAGGCATCTTGTTCAACCAAAATTGATTTGAAACTGTAGGAAAGTGAACTGAATTTCGAAAGGGTTTTTGCCATGAAGAAGCTGGCTATTTATAGAGTGTGAAGATTTGAACATTGCAAGGATATGACCACCAGCCACTTTATGGGAAATATAAGATCTCATTTAATGTTATAGATGCATATTTAAACTCTGCATATTCTATGTATGTATATATATATATATATATATATATATATATATATATATATATATATATATATATATATATGTATATATATTGGGTTTTTACGGCATGCATCTCTTTAGTTAGACTTTGGTTATCCGATGATGATAATCATTTAGTTTAGACTACCAAGAGTCCTACATTAAATGAACTCCTTGGGAAGCAAGGATTGTATGCTCGTTGAATACGAATAGTTTTGTCTATCAAAACGGCTAGGCAGATTCCAATGTATAATGACATTACACGCGCAAAAAAAATAGCCAGATATCTATCTATGATACCATATCAAAACGTCGTAGTATCAAATGAGCGGGAAAAATTTTTACCAAAAACTTCTTGCTTTATTATAGAGTTAGATTCATCCTTCCTGGTATCAAACTTGCTACTAATGGACCTATTCTAACCCATCTTTGTTTTGCAGATGACATGGTTCTCTTCACGGAGGCTACAGTGGAGCAGGTGGAGATAGTCAAGGACTGCTTGGACCGTTTTTGCCAAGCCTCGGGACAGAAAATTAGCTTCAACAAATCACAAGTGTTCTTTTCAAAAAACACGGAGCCAGGTCTCGCGGCAGACATCACAGGGCGGCTAGGCATTGCAAGCACCGACGACCTGGGAAAGTATCTGGGAGTTCCGGCTATACACGGACGTGTCACCTGTGCAACACACTCGGATTTGCTTACAAGGATCTCAAACCGTCTTGAGGGGTGGAAAGCGAAGACGCTCTCTTTGGTGGGACGGGTTGTTCTTGCGAAGTCTGTGCTAAACGCGATACCCGCCTATACCATGCAAACAACGTCACTTCCTAAAAGCATTTGCCTAGAAATCGAAAAGAGAACGAGGAGTTTTATCTGGGGACGTAATGGTACACAAAACAGAATGAGTCTGGTGAATTGGGGTTTAGCCACTACGGCACGAGAAGCGGGAGGTCTGGGTCTCAAGCGTTTAACCGAGCTGAACACGGCTTATATGGCGAAACTGGGTTGGCGACTAATAGCGGAGAAAGACAGTCTTTGGGCGCAAACTTTAAGCACCAAATACAGACACCCTAGGGACGGGATTGCTGCTACGCAATCGCGGAGGAGTGCATTGAATGCGTGGCGAGGGATATCTGCAGCGTGGCCACACATGGAGCAAGGATAATGAGCTCGGTACGGGATGGCAGGAACACACAGTTTTGGATGGACAAGTGGCTAACACCTGAACCGCTGTACGCACAACTCAATGCACCACTAGCTCTTCCTGACCTCTACGCACCTGTCAGAGACTACTGGGATGAAACGCGGGGATGGAAGTGGGAATATCTGGAACACATCTTGACGGCAGAAACCAAAGATAAACTTGCAGGCTACGTTCTCACGGAGGACCTTGTGCCTGATAAGGTGGGATGGAGTTTAGAACTTAACGGGAAATTCTCTATAAGGTCTATGTACGAACATCTTGTGGAACCCCCTGATGATGCCATAGACCAGGATTGGCGCAACCTCTGGCGAATCCGTGTACCAGCTAGGATATGCATGTTCCTCTGGTTGCTGCGGCACGAGAAGATCCTCACCAATGCTGAGCGAACTAGGCGACATCTCACATCTAACCCTTTTTGTTATCCGTGTGCAGGACAGATCGAGGATTTATCTCATCTCTTTCGAACGTGCCCGGCAGCGAGAAGTATTTGGGAACCGGCTGTGCCCAGGAGGGTAGCGGCCACCCTGAACGCGATGACATGGAACCATTGGCTAGCGACGAACCTGAAGGGCGAGGCAAGTTAGGGCTTTGGGGAGGACTGGCCTAAGAAGTTTTGTACCAGGCTGTGGTGGCTTTGGCGGTGGAGAAATGATGGCATTTTCAACGGCCGGAGCATCCCGGTGAAAGACAAGTTAGATTGGCTAGCTCACTACAACTTGGAGGTCAAAACTGCGTTTTCCAAGCGCATCCATCCGGAGAAAGGAACAAGGCGGAACCAAGACACTCAGGTGGGTTGGAAAAAACCAGATAGTGGCTGGCTCAAACTCAACATCAATGGAAGCTGTAAGGGCAGCGGAGTAGCAGGCTGCGGTGGTCTCATCAGAGATGAACATGGGGATTGGCGTGGAGGTTTCACTGTCAACATAGGACGTTGCCAAGCTTTTGAAGCGGAAGCATGGGGACTATACCACGGTCTGCGCATGGCGAATGCAAATGGGGTATCTAAACTCATAGTTGAGTGTGACTCTAAGTGCCTCCTGGAAAATTTCCGCGGGTCGACGAGTGAGGCAAATTTTGATAATAACATTGTAAGGAGGTGTGCACGGGAGATTGAAAGATTTAGAGAAATTCAATTCAACCACGTTTTCCGAGAAGGGAACAAGGCAGCAGATTGGCTGGCTACGGCGGCGCTCGCCCATCAGATTGGTTACCGTGCGGTCCATGGTGCGCCTCCGGAGCTGAGTGACATTATTGGCCATGACAAGCTGAGAGCTTTGTTTCCCATGTGTCTTTGATTTTTTGGGTACCCCCTCCGTTCTGATGTAAAAATAAAAAAAAATAAAAATAAAAAAAAAGATTCATCCTTCCTTAATTATATCTTCATAATTTTGATTAGACTGATTATATAGGCTAAATCGCTATATATATTTTGAGCATTCACTGATATTTAATAGAAATATACTGTCAAATTACTCTGAATCGATAGTCCAGATCCAAATATTTAGGCGCAAGCATCTCGCCTAACAATAACATATGAGTTCAAGATCGTTACATATATATATATATATATATATATATATGTATAACACATAGAATAAGTTGTATCATGAATATGACTGAAAATATTTTCCCAATTTTAAAATTTTAAAAATACTATCACGAGGGAGGCGTGTCGAAGTCATCCGCAAGACCGCATACCAAAGTTGACGCAGCCGATAATATGACGGATTAAACTATTGGGCAATAGTTCAACTGTTCAAGGCGGCGTGGCTGTGCACTGTGCACTGTGCAGTGGGCAATGCCTTCAAATACAAGTCCCGGCAATGCCTCTAATTGCACGATTGAATTTGCGCTCTTCATTTGCTCCCGAGAAGAACTGCAGCCAGACTCTGATTTCCACAATCCATTAAACCTTCCATTCCCCCGGCGATGGAGAACAATGGCGTGTACTCCAGCCACCGGCCGACGGTGATGGTGACGAACGACGACGGAGTGGATGCTCTTGGCTTGAGAGTTCTCGTCCGCGTCCTCGTCTCCACTAATCGATTCAACGTCTTTGTTTGCGCTCCTGACTCCGAGCAATCAGCCGTTAGTCATAGCATCACCTGGCGTCACGCTGTCCCGGTCAAGAGAGTTGAAATTAGTGGAGCCACTGCGTTTTCAGTTGCTGGTTAGTGCAGTTCTCGCTTGATTTCAAGTTTTTTTGTGGTTTAATATTACTTTAGAGGGGAAAAAACCTAAAAATTGATTATAGACAATGAGAAGTGTTAGAAATTGTTGGGGATCATAGCTCTAGCGTACAAGTGTGATATCTGATTCACTTACATTACTTTGTTCGGTCTCATGCAGGAACTCCTGCAGATTGTGCCTCCCTCGGTATCTCAAAAGCTCTGTTCTCTTCAGTGCCTGATTTGGTAACTATCTCAACAAAATCTAGGATATGTGATTTGCCTTCTACTTCACTTTCAGAATGAAAAATTATCTCTATCCTATTATACTTTATCCTTTTGGTTTCTGACATTTAATCTTTTGTTAATGTAAAGAGTTTATTACATTTCTGTTGTTTTATCCTTAATATTGATATTGATTTGATGTGATCATAATCATATTGTATCATGCAATTTTCAATGTGTTTTTAATTTTTTTATATTTGCCATTCAACTGGATTGAGAAGCCTTTATCACTTGACTCTTGGTTAAATTACTAGAGGACTGTCTTCTGGCATGGTGTGTACTATCAGATTATGCTAACTGAGATCATCTATGCTTGCAGGTGATAAGTGGTATTAATATGGGCAGCAATTGTGGTTATCACATGTTAGTAATATTCTCTTCACTCAAACCTTGTTTCTTCAGTTCTATTATGAGATGTCGTTTTGCAACTTCCACTATTTCACTGCATACCAATGTGCAGAATAGTGATTGAATTGTAGCTTAAAAAAATAGACACTCTTGATATCTACATTTTATAAGAAGAGCAGAGTTTCTGTATAATATTTGTATCAATATTGATTATATTTCTCATTTGAAATGCAGCGTCTACTCAGGAACAGTTGCTGGTGCTCGAGAGGCTTTTGTCAATGGTGTTCCATCTGTAGCTTTATCGTATGACTGGTATGGGCATGCATTTTACTGAGAAATCACACTTTGATTGAAGGAGGGCAAAAATATGTGTCCATTTGATTTCAGAGAGGGTTTATTATCTTGAATCACTGAAAGTGCATATTAGAACCTTTTTTTTTTTTAAGTGACTTAGAACTAACCACAAAAGTAAACATAAAAAATAAAAATAAAAGGTCTTAAAACTTATGTTGAAAAGTACAAGACTTCAAATTTAATTGAATTACAGAGTATTTTAAATTATAATGTTCATCATTTTACTTTTGAACAACAATAAAATTGTTGGAAGTAACATGTATTCTCCCTTGTTCATTGAAATTGCTGACAGGGTTCGTGGAAAAAGTAATGATAATGACTTCACACTAGCTGCTGAGGCTTGCGTACCCATCATTTCTACTATATTGGCTGATATTAAAAATAAAATCTATCCTCAGAATTGCTTTCTGAATATTACTGTGCCAACAGATGTTCTAAATCACAAGGTAACATTTGCTGGTTGGAATGCTATCAATGTTGCCTTTATATGTGATCTAGCTAATAGTAATGCGTTATATGTATAGTATATTAAATTAAGACTTTAAAGTACTTGAAGATGTATTTATTTTTATTTTCTTGCTATGCTGCCAGTCTAAATTCAAGTTTCTTCAAAAATTTTTGTTTTGCTCACTCTAGGGTTACCAGCTCACTCAACAAGGCACGAGTTTAATCAGAATGGGATGGAAGCAAGTTACTTCTGAAACACATGGAGGGAAAATGTTATCAACCATGACTATGGACTTGACTCCATCACAAAGTGCAGAACCAAGTGTTGTTAGCACTGAGCAGGAAAACTTTTTATTCACAAGAGAAGTGAGAACCTTTTCCCTTTCTACCTGCTTGCTTGTTCAAGAAAGTTCAAATAGTTAACTATCTATGACATGCCTGTTTTGGAGGAAATGTAGTATGCTGCATTGAGGTGCCATTATACACTAACAACCTAAATTATTGGTCTTTGGTCATGCTTGCAATGAGCAATTGCCAATTTAAGACATCTTTTTACATATTTTCTTGTCTTACACTTTCCTTCAGATGGCTTTGAGATAGCTAATTCTTTGACTTTCCTTGGTGTGGGGAATAGATCGAGCTTTTCAAACTCGAATTTTTTGCTGCTTAGATGCTATATTCTTCTGTTTTGTATTACTACATGGCTTTTAACTGATTATAAAATTCGTTGCTTAACAGGTTAGGGCAATACAAGTTGACGATGATGGTGCAGATTACTGTTCTGTTCAAGATGGATATGTAAGCAATGTTTGTTTATCTAATTTGATGTTAGTTATTTGTTGGAGCCTTATGATTAACATGCCACTCGTCTTTGGTTGTAGATAACTGTCACTCCTATCAATGCTTTGTTCAATGTTGACGTAGATTGTTTAACATTCTTCAAACAATGGTTGCCTTCTGTGGGTCAACACTGCACTCCTGCACTCTAAGCAGCAAATCTCTCTAGTGAAAGAAACCAGAGGCTTACTTTCAGGTTTATTGTATGTGCTAGTTCCATTTCATGAGAATAAAATCATGCTCTTTTTGTTAGGCTTGAGTTAATATGTTTTTTTTTTTTTTTTTTTGGGGGGGGGGGGGGGGGGGGGGGTGGAGGGTAATATGTTGACTTCTACCTCATTCTTGAATGCATTTGTATCCCCCCTAGAGTGAGAATGGTGATGTAAATGAGAAGAAAATCATTTTGATCGACCTTTAATTATTATATACGGATACATTCTTTCTTTCAAAAGGCTGAACCCCGAATGAGGTAATATGTTGACTTCTACCTCATTCTTGAATGCATTTGTATCCCCCCTAGAGTGAAAATGGTGATGTAAATGAGAAGAAAATCATTTTGATCGACCTTTAATTATTATATACGGATACATTCTTTCTTTCAAAAGGCTGAACCCCGAACCCCAACCCATTAGGGTAACTCAACTGAACATGAACCACAAAGGTTAGATCGGCCTCACTTTGAGACTTACCCCGCTGGTAAGACTTGATACCTGGTCATTCTTTCAAAGTTTTACTTCTATGACCAGTTGAGCTGCCCATGCAGGTACAACATGAATTCATGCGAGTGATGTCTTAGTTTGCAACAAATTCATAATTTCACACCCCAAAATAGTTAGTTATTACATCAATGTATAAATGATAAAAATTTTAAAACTACTTTAATAGTATGATTTATAAATTATAAAAAATTGATATTTAAGGATACATTCACATGAGAAAAGAAACTTAATAACGAATCCCAGCCGTTCATTTGTAAAAAATCTAACTAGTCTGAAAAAATTTGATAAAAAAGTGTCATTTTGGTAATTGTCTCCAACTTAAAAATTGCACTTCTCAATAATATATAGCATGGCTGAAAAAATACTAGGCACTCTTCGGACCGCCTAGGCGCTTGTATATTTTTTATTTTTTGAAAATTTATTTAAAATTTTTTAATTTTTTAAGACTTGATAATTATAAACTATTTAATACTTTAATAGTTAATACTAAATACTAAAAACGATACATCAAAATAACCCATTTAAAAAAGAAGGGAACAACAGTTAATCGGCCGACTAGTTGACCTAGTCAGTGCCTAAGAGGCCTAGGCAGCGCTTAGGCGGCCTAGTCGGTCGCCTATTATGGTAATACGCTAGGCGGCCGACCAGCGCCTAGCGCGTAGGTGATGATTAATCAGTGCCTAGGCGGGATTTTTGCTACACTGATATATAGTGCAATTTTTAACAATATAGTATGCATATTTAGATAAATTCGAAAAGAGTTAATTCCATTTTTTATTCTAGATTTAGAGGTGACAATCCACTTTTGGTCCTCTTTTATCCGAGCATCCCTTTTTGGTCCTATTATTATTGTGACATAACCAATTTTGGTCCTTTATAAAAAGAAAAAAAAAAAAGCGTTGAAATTTCGTTAAATACAAGGGCATTTCGCTCTTTAATTATGAATTTTTTTCAAAAAAATAAATATAAGAAATATAACGGGTCAACGCACTTTGTATTAAAAAGATCAAAATGTCCTTCAATTTAGGGTCCGTTTGGAAACTCGTAAAATGACTTCTGGAAAATGAGTTATTTTCCAGAAAACATTTCCTTTCCGATGATTGGCTACACAACGGAAAACTGTCTTTGTGTGTTTAGTTTATTTTCCAGAAAATGAGCACGAAAATAAAAAGAATTGAACATTTTAAAATTTTAATTATTTAATTGATATTTTTGATAAAATCCTTCAATGAATAGAACTCTTATATATATATATATATATATATATATATATATATATATATATATATATATATATATATATATATATATATATATATATAAACATTTTTAAAAAATGTAATTTTTAAGTACGAAAAAATGAATATTATTTGTAGACTTTAATTATTTATTTAAATTTTGAATTTAAAAAAAAAAAAAAAAGTCTGCGGATCGGGCCGCGGGGCCCGTCAACCCGCATGGGGCGAGCTATGGTTGCATGAAACCTAGCCTACGGGCTTGGTAGGCCGACATGCAAAAGTCCGTAAAAAATTAGGCCCGAAAAATTTTGCATGTGCATCACTTGAAAAATGACTTCCCCAAAAAAGAGGGGAAGTAATTTTACCCCAAAACTTACCTATTTTTCTTTGACTAATGCATCATTTTTCATTGACTTCATTTTCCCCCCTCTTACCAAACACTGGAAACCCAGAAAACATTTTCCAGAAGTCATTTTCCGGGTTTCCAAACGCATCCTTAATGAAATTTCAACGATTTTATTGATAGAGAACCAAAATTAGTCATGTCACAATAATATTAGGACCAAAAGGGAATGTTTTGATTCAAAAAAAAAAAAAAACTAAAAATGGACTGCCACCTATAAATGTAGGACAAAAAATGGAATTAACTCAATCCTAAAACTTAAACAAAAAACTAAATCCTAAACCTAAACCATAAATCTAAACACTAAATAGTAAAAAGTGACCCACAAACCAAATTATAAAACGAAACCACTAGTACAAAATGGAGCAAAGAAATTTGACTTTAAGCTACCCTTCTTTAAACAAGGGTAGTGTATTGTTTAAAAAAATAGGACGGTGGCATAATTGTAATTAAATCAATAAGAAACCGCTACCCTTTCTAAAAGAAGGGTAGCGATTTTCAAAAAAAAAAAAAGACGGAACGAGTTTCCGCTGCCTTTTCTCATAGCAAGGGCAGCGGATAATTATATTAATTTTTAATTAATATAAATATCCGCTCACGATATTAAAAAAAAAAAAAAAAAAAAAAAAAACCCTCAAAACAGACAGAGATAGTCTCTCACAACCCTGAAGGGTTCTCCTCAGCCGCTACGCTTCACCTCACCAGCCACACCTTCCCACACCGCGACTCCCCCAGCCCTCATCCGCCGTCGTCGTCGCCGACAGCAAGCTAAGGAAGCCCTCATCCACCGTCTCCCACCGCCATAGTTCTCCTCAGCCGTCGTCGCCGCGAGTTCCACCGGTCTCATCGACTCCTCTCAGTGGCTGCTTCGATTCACCTCCGCCACGCCCTCATCCGCCGTCTCCACCGCCACAGTTCTCCGCCGCTTCGATTCACCGCCGCCGCTGCTTCGATTCACCGCCGCCAACTACTCCGATCCGCCGAACTGAAGGTGAAGCCAGGTAATTTTATTTATTTTGGTTAAAATTATTTTTTTTTAATTTTTATTATTGTAATAAATATTATATTTGTTAATTTTTATAATTTTATTTTGAATTTTTAGTTATTTGTTGTTATTTGTGTTATTATTATACCCTAATATGTGTTAAAAATATGGATGTAGTTGTTATTTTGTTGGGATTAATTATACAGTAATGTGTATATATATATATATGGTGTGTATAAATATTATGTAGACATTTTTTATTAGTAATTATTTGAAAGATTATAAAGTGGAATTTTGTTGACATGTTTATATAACAGCTATGAAGGCTGATTATCTATTTTTAATTTGGACTTTAAATATATATCAGCATAAAGCTATGAAGGCAGATCTGTACTAGTGTGTATAGTATCTGTTGGGTAATGTGGGAAGTTTAGGACATTTTCCTTGCTTAAAAAGTTTATACTCTCTTGGGTTGTTTTGATTGAAGCTATAAGCTCTGTTGTCATCCTCAAATTTCCCAATGCCATAGATCAATACAGTATGAGTTCATTGCACAACTACAACTACATGAGATGTCAATTGAAAAAATATATAGGTAGGATTCTAAGGAATATTGAACTTCAAATTATGAAGATGCTTCCTGTAACTCCAAAATGATCAACCTGTGAGAGTTGAATGCTGTGTTGCTTCACACTGCATTTGCCAATATTTTGCATCTCATCCAACATTTAGTAAGGATTAGGAAAAGAGACACAGTATGCTATGGAGAGCTAATAGAACTGTAGAAAGCTACATTGTTGACGGAGTATACACACATGCATGGATTGAAAGTCAAGCACTTTAGGATAAGATATCCCCCAAACATGACACATTTCATCCTTGCATGCAAAAGGTGTTATATGGGCAAGAAACTTGCTGGTCTAGCAATAAAATGTTCGTTTTTCCGTTTGGTATAATTGAAATTTATAATAACAAAATGTAGGTACTGTGGTGGATTATAAGATAAGCCATCCTACAGAATTTGATTTTTCCGTCCTGCACACTACTACATTCTTTGGGACGAGAACAACTTCACAGCAGATGAAATCCAATCTCTGACAAACAACCTTTGTTATACGTAAGGAATCTCTTTTCTCTCAATCTAGTCGTTACGTTGAAACTCCTTTTTAACTATCTTGCTTTTCCATTATTAGTAACAACTTAACTGCAACGAATGCAGCACGATGCACTCGGTCTGTTTCTGTTGGTAATCTTCTAACTTTTTCTCTCATGCAAAGCTCTGATGCCCAGATAGAACTGTGTTTTTGCTTCGGCATTATAATATGGTATCTCACAAGCATCTGTGTTACTATGAATGCAGTGCCTCCTGCATATTATGCACATTTGGCCGCCTACAGAGCGCGGTTTTATGTCGATAACGACGCCCACGAGAATGGTTCGATGCGCTGCACCTGCACCTCGAATGGCTCCGGGGTGCAGCCCCTGCCGGCATTGAAGGAGAAGGTGAAAAATGTAATGTTCTATTGCTAGGCAAAGAGCAAAATAAGGCCATATAAGTTTGAACTGAGTAGGAAAAAAAGAGCTGGAAGTGTTTATATGGTAGGGACTAGAGAGTCCTAAATCCTAATGTATGACAAATTTTGAGTCTCAACTCCTTAACCAAATTTATTTGCTGATGGCTACTGGAATATGTAGTCTGGAAAAATTACAAATTTCTACTTAGCATTTTGGTAGGTGATATTTAAATAACAAATTTCACATGTTTATTTATGTATGTTTAGCATTTTATTCACACTTTCTACATCCTCTGATTGCTGCTTTATTTTCTCAGCGATCTCGGAAGCCAAGGCTTGAAGGATTATATAAGTGATAAAATTGGTCTGCTATCTAATTTGGTAAGCCTGTAAGTATCACTTTTCACTTGTTATTACATATACT